AAATCTACTTGGCCACTGTGCTGCAGCTCAGGGTGTCTTGGTCATTTTGTTAAAGCCATGGCCATCTTTTATGTAGAGCAACAATTTTTCAGATTCTCAGAGGTGTTTACCACGAGGTGCCAAGTTGAACTTCCAGTTATGAGAGAGCGATATCAAATTTAACACACCTGAGACCTTTCAACACTGATCGAGTCACGACACGAGGAGGGGAAATGGAAATAAGGCAAATTTAAGGCTGCACTCTTTTGTTGCCAGCGCTTTAGACATTAATGGCTGTGCTCTTATTCACAAGGGACAGTACATTTATTATTGTACATGCTGTACACTGAATACTTGATATCTTCAGTGTTGTCCCATGAAAGATACTGAATATTTATAAAAATGTGAGTTGTACTCACTATTGTGAGATACTATATGTTCCTGCTGAGAATACTGTAAAAAGCTCAAGAAGACCAGGTTAATTGACTGCTAAATATTCTGCTCCTAGATTAAATAAACATAAATTGGATCTCAAAGTGCCTTAAAAGACTAAAGCAATTTGCAAATGAACATGTTAAGAGTCGTGCAACACCGTACCAGCATCACCTCAGGTTCAGCAGCAAATAACCAAGGAGCCGAAAATCAAGGTGAAGAAACGTGTTCGTCTTCTATCGGTTGATATAAAACGCAAAAATAAATTTCATTTTTCTTTATAGAATTCCATCCAGAGAAGTCTGGAAACAAATGCTTTTCCAGATGTTTTTTTGTCTATGGGAACCCTGTCATCAACTCTTCATGGTTTTCATTTGGTCAAACCTTGTTCACATTTAATCAAACAGAATTAGATTTGTATCTCTTACAGCTGGACGCAGTTACGACAGTGGATAGAAAATCGCTTAAGCATTCCTACAAACTCAGAAAGGATGAAAAGGTGACAAACTTGGTTCCTGCATTCAGATGTATTTTAACACGTTAAAAATCTGTTTACCTACAGATGTAAACACTAAATTCAATGATCATTTTAGAGAAAATAAAGTCAGGTTCTCTGGATGGATTAAAAAATAAACTGTTGAAATTGATCATACATCAGCATATTTTATAGACACCCCTCATTACAGTAGTTCATATATGTATCATCCTGTTTTTAATAATAATAATAATAATAATAAAGTTATGTATCATCATTGTATGTTCCATACAATGGTGAAATTGTGTCTGCATTTAACCCACCCACCAGCAGGTGGAGCAGTGAGCAGCTGTTGAAAGCACCCGTGGAGCAATTAGGGATAAGGTGTCCTGCTCAGACACCAGATGTGAGCGGGGATTGAACTTGGGACTATTGGGTCTCGAGTTTTAAACTCCGTCTCTGGTTCAGACATTAATGTGAAACAAATGATCAGTGATTTTAGAGGTGCACTTGACTTATTTTGTTAATTTTAGTTTTATTTGTAACAACATGCTGTTGTGCCAAAAAACGGTGACACTGAGCTGCATGTTTAAATAATATTAACGTGACCCGATGAACATTTTGATAACCAGCAGTGAATGTAGAACTTTACACTTTTCTGGTTTAATGACAGGCAACAGAAAATGAGCTGGCAGCAACTACACTTTAATTACACTGTGCCAAGGAATGGTGACACCAAAACAAACATCTGCAGTAAATGTCAACCTGCATGTAATTATTGAAACAATCATTTACAGGTTCCTTACCTTGGTGCTACAATGTCTACACTTCATAACTTTTGTCCTTTCCTTCACAATCCACTTTGAACAACGTCCCTCTCGAATCATGTTTTCCTGTCCACTTCCCCATCACCGATTAACCATTTTTCGATAAAACCCCAGTAAACGAGCACCGGCTGAGCCAAATGAACAGTTTCTTAAAGGGAAATGAATATTATGACTGGATTTCAAATATTAATTTGTAGAATTGTAGATTTAACTTTAGGGAAAAGCTGAGAAGTTGGGAAACAGATGTGGCACACTAAATCTCGCAGCTAACAGTTACTCTAAGTTTTGAAACTTGTTAGCGTTTTGCAACTAAACTCTTTAACAGGATAAAAAAATAACACAAGCCAGAGTGTGAAGTGATAAAGTTGTCATTTTATTAGAATTTACTCGCGTGCCATCAGCTTCTGCTTCTTCAGCTTCTTCTGTGAAACCTGCAGACAGAAACACGGAGTTATCACAGCAGCCGGGGCGGAAAGTGAGCTCAGCTCCGCTGGTCGGTCACTCAGAGTCAAAGATTGTTTTCATGAAGAATCCAAAGGTGTCCTAAGATTGTCATCATCACAACCAGTTGCTGGAGGAAGTCGGTGTGCTCAGACCTACAGACGGGCCCGGTCAGAATCAATGGGACCAGAGTTCTGCTGCACATCTGAGCACACATCTGTCTACAGCCCAGCTTCTGTACTGTACCTTTTTCTTCTGGGTCACCTCCTCCTCTGGTTTGGGGACGATCTGCTCCTTCTCGGTCAGGATCATCTCGATGTGGCACGGCGAGCTCATGTATGGGTTGATGCGACCGTGGGCGCGGTACGTGCGCCTCCTCATCTTGGGGGCCTTGTTGACCTGGATGTGTTCGATGACCAGAGAATCTACGTCCAGACCCTGAAACCACACAAACGTCTTCAACTCCAGCGTTGGTTGTGCTCGACTGAAGCGAGGCCACTGGAACAAGTTTCCAGTGATTAAAACTGGACTCGCAGCTGAAACAATGTCTCGGTACAACTGGAGAACGTTTCCAAATGTCAGAACTGGTAACAAACAAGTCAAGCTTTGATTTTACTCAACTATGTAAACTACTTTAGTGCTTTCAGAAACCTTAAACAAATCATTTATTTTGTGCATAAACTGCTTTAATTACTTTGTTTAGTTTTTTTTTCCTTTTCATTTCTTTGTTTTTCTGGTGCAACTCTGAAATAAGCATTTTAACAACACTTTGAACATATAGCATCAAAATTTATTAACTGATCAAACTTATTTCCAACCATCAACAGGATCAATAAGATATTTTCTGATAAAGCGACCAAAACTGGTTCGTATGACCCGATTAACGTAGAAACACGCTAGCAGGAAAATCATTGTTTGTACAGACCCTAGTTTTGTTGCACAAATTAGCATGCGTGCAACTTATACAGCGAAGCAAGTTAGTTGTTTTTCCCCATATTTATAACCAATTTTTGGCTGAGATCTATTTCATTCATTCTGACATGGAAAATATTGAACACTACCATTTTCAGCCACTAGAGGGCCCTCAACTTGTATGGAAAGCCAAGTGTCTCATTAATAGGTAAAAGTGGCTATTAATGAGACACTTTGCTTGCCATACAAAGCCACCTTCGTCTCGCTCCGTAACTCCTGGAGCAAACGCCAAATCAGCTGCATTTCACCGCATCGCCCAGGAGAAATGCAGCTGATTTGACCATTAAAGTGCTTTTGTGAAGTAAAAGTTCAACTGAGACGCACCTTGACTATAATTTCAAGCAAACAAATAATTGTTTTTAGGTGGTTATCTTGTTAAATGCAGAAGAAATGAACAGCGAGTCATCCCTTTCCTTTCGGTTTTTGAAACGCAGCTGATTTGACGTCAAAGTACATTTATTAAGTAAAAGTTAGACTGAGACACAACTTTGCTATATTTTTGAGCAAACAAATAATTAAGTGTTAATCTTGTTAAATTCTTAAGTCCTCCCATGCACGCTCCCACGGCCGCCATTTGGCAGCCAATCAATTTTTGGCACAACACCGGCCACGTTTCCAAGTTGTCAACATGTAATAGATGTGACTTATACGACAAAGTGACATATTTATGGTTTTTTCCACTTTATTAGACACATTTGGTCTGATGCGACTTATACGGCAGTGCAACGTGTACGGCGGCAAGTACGGTATACTACCTAATAAGCTCGTCGTATTAAATCCCCCCCACACTGTCGATAACTGTTCAAAAATAACTATAATCTGTTGCGTATGAGTCCAATCTGGTTATTAAACTGTAAATCTGTACACAGGTGGACAGAACAAGTGTGAACGTTTGGTGGTCTGAACACAGATGGACCACACTGAAGAAATGCCTACATACAGATGCAAATTCACTTTCTGAAAAAATAAATAAATAAAATCACACCTATTTACAAATGAGCAGGGATTTTTAGAACATTTACAGTTCAAATGAGCAGACTGGAAGAACTATATAAGATATATAAGTTTAAGATATAAACTTCCTCCAGAGTTCTAGCGTTTCCCCCCAGTGGCACATGCCAAGAAAATCTTGAAATGGAGGCGTCCACACCAGATGCTCCAACCACCTCAACTGACATTTGTGCTGAACGCAGCCATCTTGTAAAAGAAGATTATTTCAGCCACAGTCAAATGTTCTTAACTTAAAATGTTTGGCTAACTACTGTGAGAAACCGCACAATTGTTTTATCTTTTAGACGTTGAAACTAACAAAACAGCTTTATCGATAGCTGTTGGTGTTTTGAAGCTAAATTAAAGACAAAGCTGACTGTTCCTTTAACAGTGACTTCAGGAAGTAAAACTAAAACGTGACTCATTAATGAATGGTGACGCCTGTAAAGATGCACATCACATTTTTCAGCTGCTGAAACGGTTTGGAAAGCTGCTGCAAAAATGTATTTTGCAGCAAAGAACAGGCAGGAATGGGTTTTCATTTTGCACTAAAAAGAAATGCAACTTGCAAAACAATGCAAAATAAGCTGAAAGTCTCCAAACACTGACAAACACGTCTTCACACACTTAATAAAATAAGCTCTTCACTAAAGACTTCACTCAATCTAACCCAAAGCATACAGAAGACATGCATCAGTCCGGTTAGTAAAAAGAACTTGCCTTCAGCTCAGCGTTACTCTCTGCGTTCTTGAGCATGTGCAGCAGGAACTCTGCGCTCTTCTTGGGCCAGCGGCCCTGAGTCCAGTCGAACTGTTTGGCCTGAAAACACAAAGCGGTTTAGAACAACTTCCTCTCTTTTGCTCAACCAGCGAGTTTCTTCTGATGCTGCTCAGGATAAACAGGTTGGTTTCATCATTAATCCAAAGGTGTCCTAAGTTGATCATCACTGCAGCCTTTAACCAGACTCCTGGTTGCGTCGCTCAGCTCTCACCTGAGCGCAGCGTCCAACGCCACCGTTGTAGCGGCGGAAAGGGACACACTGGTGCTGGACCATGACGTCCCTCAGGTACTTGTTAGCCTTGCGGATGTGCATGCCCTTAATGGCCTGGGCTGTCTCACGGGTGTTCTGTTAAGAAAACAAGAACAAGTCTTTAGTCAGACTCGCTTCATAGAAAGTTCTTAGCCTCAAACCATGAAGTATTTTGGATTATTTTTACTTGTTTGGACATTTCAAAATTGATGTTTTGAACATTTGAAAAAGGTAAACACATCACACTGAGCTGAATTATTTCCAGTCAGACATTTAAATGCATCTTTGTTTGCTTGAAAGGGAAGAGATGAGGTAAGGTAGGGCAGCCGACCTGGGACCTGAAAGTCCCAGGTTCGACCCCCAGCCATTCTCACACGTCATGGTGTCTCTGAGCAAGACACTTATTCCCTAATTTCTCCCTGGGTGCTCACATAGCCGCCCACTGCTCTACCTGGGTGTATCCCAGGTGCGATGGGTTAAAAGCAGAGAACTAATTTCACCATTGTATGTTCCCATACACCGAGGACAACACATAGCCCTTTATTATTACTTTGTTCTTTAGACAAAACTCTACACCTTCTGTCTAGGATTAAAAAAAAAACATAGTGGCAGAAGTCAATATAATAAATTGAAATTATCTGGAAAAAAAAATAGCGCAGCAACAATATGCAGCTCACAAAGTGGGTTTTTTTATCATCAATTTGAATGAATAAATTATAATTAGTCAAGCAAAAAAGTAAAAAAGGGAAACTTGAAAACATTTTGACTTTGGAAGCCAAAAAAATGGGAGGACAATTAAAGCAACTCCACGTTTCATAAAACACTTAAAACCTTCTCGTCCTTACTAAAACAAGTTTATATCAACCACTTGGGGTTTCCTCACACTTCCAGATGAGGTCAAGTCAAACAAACGGATGCAGCCATTGTTGTAAATCTAATCAGGATTGACGCTTCAGCTTAAGACAGCACTTAATCCTGCAGAATTCACAAGTACTCGCATACTTATATATTTCTCTTTTATATAGTTTGTTTACACCCCTTCACATTTATAACCTGTTCATAGTCTGTACACTCATAACCTGTATATATTTATACTTGTAGCATATTCAAATCAACTTGCTGTATATTGTAATATATATAAGCACTTCTGGGTGGATGCAAACTGTATTTCGTTGCTTTGTACTTGTGACATGTGCAATGACGATGAAGTTGAATTCTATTCTAGAATGGAAAGATGGCAGCTGTCTTGTCCCACCCTTAATAAGACAAAGACAATGACAGTCCTAACTTGTGAGACATGTGGACATCATGAGCTTACCTTGAAGTGAACCCGGAGGTTTGAGCCCCTCGCCTTGCATGCTGAAAGAACAGGCCAAACTTTTCAAAACAAAAGCTCAGACACACACTGAACATATTGCATGTGGCTCAGATTTCAACATTTGAATTATTTTCACATTTCATTCAAAGGTGTCCTAAGAAATCATCACAGCCACCCAACTCCTAAATTACGTGTCCTTACTTACATTTTGTCGGGTTCTCGGGATCGAGAGAGTAGCGGACCATTTTCAGACAACTAAAAAAAACAAAAACAGTCAGTACTTTAAATACACCTCTTTAGCTTACGTTAGCTACTTCAGCGCTAATGGATGCCCCGAATATTATCAACACACACCAGGAAACACCAAGAATGACCAACATAAGATTTAAACTCGAGTAAAACCAGAGAAACAGCAGCTGCTTCTTATTTAAAACCAGTTTTGGTCACAAGCAGCCAACATGGCGGAAAGCTGCACTAGCCACCAAACCGGCATCTTCACGATTATTAAAATAAAACTACAAACTTCGCCCTCATACAAAACGTTTAACACAATCAGAGCTACTGAAGTACAACAAATGAAACTCGGTTGGTTAACGAGTAGGATGGTTCATAATAAATAGAGATTTAACACAGATTCTTGTCTTCAAATGCAGAATTATGCTTCTACCTCTGAGGCCGCAGGGGGAAGAGGAAGTGCCGCAGCCAGCGCGTCCCCTCTTCTGCTTCCGGTCAGGCTCAGCGCCCCCTGCCGGTGAGGAGGAGGCACTGCTACAGGCATGCCTCATTATTAAACATTTACGTTAACGTTTTTCTCAATTTGTATTATTTTTGTCACTAATAAGGCATACTTTATGTCTTAGTGGTTATTTTCATTATAAATATTTATTTAACTATCGACCAATCTCTAAACTCTGCATTTTAGCCAAGGTTCTAGAAAAACTGATAAACTTTCAAATCAAAAAGTATTTGGACTCTTTTAACATCTTACCTCCACATCAGTTGGTTTCAGGAAACAACACAGCACAACGACTGCTTCACTCAAGGTTTTTAATGACGTTGTTGAAGCACTGGATGCTAAGGATTATTGTGCTCACAATGTGTTCAACATAATGGTATTTCTTCCAGTTATTTAATGGTCAACAATGGTGTACCACAAGTCTCAGTCTTAGGACTCACCCTCTTTACAATCTACATAGGTAATGTAGGTCAGAGCATCCATGATGCATCCATACATTTCTATGCTGATGACAGTCGTTTATTGTCGAGCTAAAACAGTTGCTAAGGTTTTCCAGCTTTTGTAATCTGCTTTTGACAACATCCAGTCTGATTTGTTCCATCTCAAATTTCTCCTAAATGCTGACAAAGGGATGTTGTTTTCAAACAGCAGTCCTTCCTTCGATTTTATTTTCGAACAGTGCTCCTATTGA